ATCAAAGGGTGAGGCTAGGGTTTGATAGAGAGATCATTGAATCCGGTGGATCCCTACACTATTTCGGCTGCTAAGATATGGTGGATGGTGGTGGAGCTCACGGTTGCTGCGAGAGCGGAGCTACAACAATGCGCCTGTTTATTTTATTTTAGCTTTATAGAATCTTTATCCCTCTTTGTTGTTTCTTTTTATTCAAGTATGACCTAAATTGTTAGGATCAGTTGATAGAGTACCCTTATTGTGATGTAATCAGCTTGCCTAAACTTTGCTATATTATTGTCCTTTTAGTTGTTAAATAAATTGCTTATTTTGTCTCTATTCTTGTTGACTTATCGAGAGAGAGTTGCAAGATACTTAGGGTTTGGGTTATAGATATATAGGTGAACTCAGAAATTTATTAAGCATTGTGATTTAACTAATTTAATTGGTTAATTATGGGTAGAGAGATCATTCTCACCACAAATTCATATGGAACTTAAACTTAATGGATTCATAACTATGTTGGTCATAGAGATATGGGAACTAGTATACATGTATTGTTGGTGAGAGCTCTTGCATGCATTAGTTTTCTGATTACTGATTAGATAATTGCTATAGCATTGCTACTGCATTCTGATGAAATTGCAATATTGGGAAAATTGATCACAATCTACTTTGTTACTTGACTTCTTTGTTCTTAAGTGCACTCTTAGTTTATTTTTACTTTGCTTTTAGTTATTAGTGAGTAGTTAGTATTACTTTAGTCCTTAGTTCTTAATTCATAAAACTTTCATAAATATTGTTACTTTTGTTGCTTCACATTGATCCCAACTTTATAGTTTTGTTTGTGGAAACAATATCTGGACTCACACATCCACTCTATTACTTATTGACACGTGCACTTGCGTTAATGTGTGATTGATAAAAGGGTTACACAATTGCACAACATAAACCATATACATAATAGATTTCGTTTTGTATTATATGCACTTTGAGAGTACATACATCTTTCTAAGAACCTTTCCAAATTGTATTTTCATATTGAAGGTAGTGAAACCCAAAGAAAGTGAGAGGTAGCTCATTACCTAGGAAATTTGGGAAGACCGCAAGGTGACTAAATACCAAAAACTTAGGGGTTTTAGTGGTTTGTTCAAGAACCCTATAAGTTTGACAAATAGTGGAGGATCTTGAGTGGTTTACCCAAAGAGTGGACATAGGTCACAAAGAGTGGTAGCCAAAAAGTTTTGTTTGCATTTTTTCTATCTGTTAACCTCTTTATTTAAGCAAGTTGATATTTTTGTAGCATTTTTGGTCACTGTTTTATATTGCTTTTTATTTGTTGCATTTAATTCATATTTAGCTAAATTGCAACTCTTCAATTAAAAATTAAAAAAAAATTGATTTTTACATAGAAAAAGAGGTCATTTATGAAAGTTTTTGAAAACTCAATTCATATCCATCTTGAGTTTGTGAGGTCACTTGTCCAATAAATAATTGATCATCACATTAATACTATATTGTTAGCAATCTCATTTTGAGACAGAAAAAAGTTTAGAGAGAAATGAAAACGATGAAAAAATCTTGAAGATTTAAGTTGAATGAAAAAGTGTTGGGAAGGGTATGAATAAATAAATAACTAAAAAAGTTTTAAGGTGAGTGGAGTTTACCTATTCTCATAGCACTTGGATAATACAAGATGACATAGTTTACAAGTGAGTAGGGTTGTAGATAAATAAAATATTATTTTAACTAACAAATATTGTTCATGTCATAAAAACCTTGCTTCCCCTCCTCTTCATTAGATGTTTTAATTTCGAGCGATAAGAATAGAGAAAATGAAGTGCCCCTATGTGGTCCAACACTTTGTGCCTAGTTAGTTGTTTTTTCTATCTTGGGCTTTTTCCACCATATTTAATCAATCAATCTATAATAATAATTATGATAATACATTTATCAGATTTAATTGGGAGAACCATCTTTTATAATGGTCCGACAATACTTGAATCCAACTAATTGGATAATTAATGAACCGGTAAATAAGAAACAAAAAAACTATTTCATTTAGTGAGACATTTTTGTTGATTGCCAGGGCTATAACGACCATTATGAACGTTGTCCATGATCTCAAGCACTACCAGCATCTAGAAGTTAAAATTGAAGTCGCAGACGTGTGAATTAAAGTTATAAGTTAACTAAATTACTTGGCTAAAGAAAGAAAAATCGCAAGTGAATTTGAATCCATTAAATTGTCCCAAAAAAAAATAGAAGCCATGATCCTCGTTTTAACTGCGTTATTATTCATTAAAAGAAATAATTTTTCATAAAAAATAAATTAAAGCCAAGGCTCTGCCCCCCAACAAATACAAAATCCTAGGAAATTTAGTAAGAAACTTCATTTCCTAAACCTCAGACAAGGCTCTGCCCACAGGTTGTATTGACGTACAAACAATTCTTTGCCTTCCTTCTCATTTTGTTACCAAAAGTTATCCACCTTGGACCCACTTAACCAGCCCTTATAAAGAATTGTTGTAATCTTGCATAATTATAGGACTGTATCTTCAAACACCAAGTTAGTTTAGTAGCATCTTGGAGAAATCATTCCTGAGATTATGATTTATTGCTTTGATTTTCAGCTTGCGCAGAGTAGCTTATTCGACCCTGAAATTCTCACAGCAGGCGCCAACCAAATGAAAAGCAACTTTTTCCAGCACTTCAAGCAAAATATTGTTGCTACTGGGATGTGCAGGTGACTTTTAAATACTAAAATTTTCATGACATAACAAATGATCAAGAAACTTGTTAGAAGTGTTATATAGAACCTGTTCCGGGTTTAACCAACTTCGGACTCTGCCCTTGAGTCCGGATCGTAGGTTTATACTCATGATCTCACTCTTTTCCATAACTACTATGATCCCACTAAAAGAACTGCTCCATATCCATGATTCTCTTCCTTAACCACTCTTTAGAACCACTAAGTCATTGGGAAAAACCACTCATTATGTGCACAACTTCTCCAACTGCTAAGGCACTTCATCTATATATAGCTCCCTATAGCAAAGAATCAGGGGAGGTTCTTCAGTCATCTCTACCATATGCTTTGTATATACAATTACTAGCAATCATACTAGACCTTGATGTTCACTTCCGAACAGAACCCATTTCAACATATGCCATAAATGCCTCATGGTACAAACTACTATACCCATTAGTTTAAAAAGCCTCTGTATAATAAAGCATTCAAAAAAAAGTGAAGTTTTTTGGTTGATTTTTTAGCTACTGTTGGATGCTGTAAGCCAAGCCATTATTTTTTAGCATAAACTGGATGGAATACAAGCAAATTAAGTTTATTTCACATAACAAACAACCCTTAAAATTAGCCAACCAGTCAAAAGCAAAAATAGATGTCCAGAAGGAACCAGGACCTAAGTTTGTTAATTCTAACCCCCAATCTCCTCAACTTCAAGAATTCATGTTGATTGAGCTTTAACTTCTCAGCCATCAAGCTACTTAAAAAGTATATTAATTAAAAACCAGAACCAGTGCTTTGAACACATGCAAAAGGACCGTTTCTCAATTGCAGATTCAGTAGCTTTCTTGAAGTCCTGCAACTGCAGTTTAGACTAGAAGCTCAATTCAGTCAAAGTAAGTCCCATTCAGGATTATCCATTTTTCCTCATGCGGCTTCCTAAAGAAAACCATTCTATCACTGCAGTACCAAGTCTAACTTCTCATGCCACCTTAACTAATACGAATTAAGATATTTAGGCACACTGGATGTAACGTAAGACAATGCTCTTACACTGAATGCGTATTATATTAGCTTAATCCAGAGAAAACAACTAACAAAACCACACCACAATAGACTAGGCTTGACCAATAAAAAGCAGCCAAATCAATAGCATAACACCCAAGGAATTGAGCATAACCCTAGCACTTAACCCAATCCACTTCCTACAAAATCATAATACAATCACATTGAGGTGGACTACAAGCAACACACTACTTACTAAATATTGAACCAAAAAAATTATGCCCATTCATTAAAAATGATCTACATACTTTGAACTTTAAATTCTCTGCCATCAAGCTACTTTAAAAGTTCACTAATAGCAAACCAGAACCATACATCTCTGATCATGCAAAGAACCATTACTCAATTGCTGACTCAGCATACTAAAGCAGCCTTCTAACTTACTAGAGAAAAACTTTCATGAAATACTGAAATGGCAGTTTAGACCAGAAGCTCAGTTCAGACAAATTAAGTACTATCCATATATAGGAGTACCAAATTTTCCCTCTTGCCGCTTCCACAAGAAAACCATATACCACCAACCACAGTACGCAGTCAAAACTTCTCACGCCACCTTAACTAATATGAATTAATCTAAGAAATCGAATCCAAACCACACCAAATTAGACTAGTCTTGACCAATAATATGCAGCCAAACCAAATAGCACATCATCAAAGCAATTGACCATAATCCAAACACTTGACCCAATCGACCTCATTCCAGTCACACTGAAGTGGATTCTGCCAAGCACCTCCACTCACCAAATACCAAAGCAAAACCAAACAAATTTCTGCCATTAAAAAATAAAATAAAATAGAAACAGAGCCTTGGCACAACTCTTGGTGTTGTCGCTATGTGACTTAAGAGGTCAGAAATCATATAATAAACTTCTAGAAACGCAAGCCATACAATGAGTATGGCCCTTCCTTAACACAAATACGCCCTTTAAGAAAAAATAGACAGAAATAAGCTAAATTATGCCTCTCTACTTACTTGCTACAAGACTTACATCAGAAACACTTGACTTAGTTAATTGTATTTACTCCAACTACTTCTCAATTTTTAATGGCAAGTAAGTCCATATCTTTCTAATTTGAGTAGAGAAGTATTTACTACAAGAGTGGTGAAAATTTTCTCAATATCCCATTTGGGCAAACACTTCTCTCCAAGCAGATAGAACAAAAGATCCATCACAATACCATAATAAAAAAGAACCGTTTCATACCTCATTGAAACACAAACTTGCAAAACTAAATAAAACATTCCTGGGTAATTTTTTTATTTATTTCAACGGGTAAAAGCATAGATCGCAGTAGAAATATAAACCAAAAGAGCAGAAGTAACCAACACAACCATGGCGGCAACAGCATGAGTAGCAGATTTACTACCACAAGACAACATCCCCAAGCGAATCTCAATAACATTAACCATAGAAAGCATCAAGAAAACGCAACCCATGACAGATCCAATTGCGGATCCCAACATTCCAAACCTAAGAGCCTTGATATTGATGTGTGCCCTGAAAGCCTCATCCACGTCCTTGCTGTTAAGCAAATTGAGCGCGAGCTTCAACCCTTGCGCCACCAACGAAGAGAAGAGGAAGAAGCTGAAGGAAACAACCTCGAATACGAGGAGCTTCTTCGCGATGTCCACGCCGGCGTCGCAGGATGTTCGGTTCTCGAGGCTGCGCTGACCCGGCGTCGTCAATGACAGCCCGACGAACACGGCGATGGTGAATAACGAGTTCACGTTCACGAGGCCGTCGAGAGCGGTGACGTGCACGCTCGTGGTTGTGGTGATGGAGGAAGAAGGTAACCTTCTTTGGCTATTGTTGTTGCTGTTGGGGTAATAATCCTTTGGGTATTCTTCTGATCTGTAACAACAAGAATGGGTTTAGTTTCATTTGAAGCAATATTGATGTGTAAAACATATGCAGAGAAAAGTTTTAAAGAGAAAATTAAAGAGAAAGAGAAGATACTCGTCCATGGGGAATGAATGCAGATGAAGCTGAAGTTGAAGGTTTTGGGTTTTTTTTTAGGGTTTGTTAAGAATTGCTTAGGGGAGAGGGAGATGCTTTGGTTTTTTGTTGTGTGTTGCTTCTTAGATGGTTTCTTTTGCTTTTCGGAGCGTTTTGAGTTCAAAAGGTTTAAGGCACATGCAAGGAAAGTAAATAGGGACAGGAACACGGACATCAGAACATAGGTAGGAAACTAGGAACAGATCAAATGTCTTCAACACGCTGCTAACAATTATTTTTTGTTTCTTATTTTTATTTTTATTTTATGGATTTTCTTCTCTTATTTTAAGCTGTTGCCGGCTGCAGCCAAACCCGTTTCGTACTCTCTCTACCTACTAACGTCACGAAGTACCTAACGCGTCCCCACCATTACTATTCTTGTTTTTAATTTTTTTTATCAATATAATAATTTTTTTTTTTTTATATAAATGGAGGGCCTAGTCCAGAAATATTGAAAAGAGAGCTGGTGCATGTTTAAAGACACATGCTTCACCAGCAACTTTGTACAAAAAGAATTCTAAAAAAACTCAATACTATCAGGGGGAGAAGAGAACATCCTCAACTCTCCACCCTTGAGGTTAAAACCTACCTTAGCTAAACTATCTCCACAAACATTAAATTCTCTAGGAACATACTCCAGATGAACATGATCAAAAGCCTCGGCTGATTTCTTGATTCTAGCAATTAAGGAAGAAACGCCACAAGGATTATCCTTAGCTTCTGTGCAATGAATGGCCTCTTTGCTGTCGCCGCCAATCCAGACAGAAGGGAGATTCAGCTCTCCAGCAAGCTTAAAACCTTGCAGAATACCCCAAAGTTCAGCTTCCAAAGGGGAGCAAGTCCCTATGTTATAGGAGAAGCCTCTAATCCAATCTGCATTTGGGGAGCAGACTAGACCTCCACAAGCTCCAATGTGTGAAGACATATTAACAGCCCCATCCACAAAAATTTTAATTTCTTTTTTGTCACAAATCTGATCTGGACTACCAGCTGGATTAGGATGGCTAGGAAACAGAGAAAAAGGATCAACACTGCCACTATTCTTCATGTCAGCAAGATAACTAAGAATCTTGTGTATTGGATCTTGAGACCTGGAAAAAGTAGCATCATGAATTGTGGAATTCCTCCAATGCCAAAGGAACTAGCATGTCACAAAAAAGATTTCTATCCATGAATGCCAGAGGTGCGAAGTGAAAGGCTTAAATAAATTAAGCCTGAACCAATTTTTTCCTTCTTCTGTTAGGAAATTACTAGGGATTTTGCCAGCAAACCATATCTCCCAAACTCCCCTAGCAACTTTGCAATCTTTCAAAGTGTGGATTAAAGTTTCTTGGTCTTTGGAGCAGGTGGGACAGTACACCTCCACTCCAGTGACAGGTTATGCTTCTAACAGGGAGCTTATTGAGGCAAGCCAGCCAAAGAAAAACAGCTATTCTGTAAGGACCTTTCCACTTCCAAATTGCTGCCTATATTCTGTCCTTTACATAGTTGGATTTCATCAGATGGCAGTAGGCATTCCTCACAATGGATTTACCTGGACTGCTTTCCTTCCAATTGAGCCAGTCATCAGAATTGCTGACATTAGGAGGAGGGATATTTCTCAACAAACTACAAGTAGAGGTATCAAGGAAATTTACCAGGTAATTCCAGTTCCAATCCTCTGTTTTATGGTATATTACACCACACACATTGAGACCCAGGTCAGATGTAGGAGGTTTGATTGGAGCAAGCTCAAGGAGAGTGCATTGCCATCCTCCCCAAAGATCTTTCCAGAAACAGGCTGTACTGCCATTCTCTATCACCCACTCAAGTTGATTAGACATCTTTTTTCTTGCTATGCAAATATTCTTCCACAGATTCGAGTCATGCATTTTGGCTAGTAAGCTACGGTTAGGATCCTGATTCCTACCATATTTTGCAAGTGGAACTTTAGCCCATAGACTATCCTGGTTACTAATAATCTGCCAAGCTAGCTTCTGCATAAAAGCTTCATTTTGGATCCTGAGATTAATGATGCCAAGTCCACCACAATCCTTGGGCTGACACATATGCTCCCAAGCTACATAATGAGCTTTCCTTTTGGACCCCAGATCTCCCCAAATGAAGTTTCTTTGCATCCTCTCAATATCATGACATACATGCACTGGGAGAGAGTTGTTCTGCATGTGGTAACAAGGTATGGCTGAGATTACACTTTTTGCTAGAGTTATTCTTCCAGCCAGAGAAAGGCATTTAGATTTCCATCCTTGTAGCCTATCCTGAACTCTGGAAATGACAGCAGCATAACGGTTCTTATTTATTCTTCCATGTCTCATCATAGTTCCCAAGTAGCAGCCAAGGTTATCAACCTTTTTGAAACCACTGATTTCAGTAATAGACTTCACAACCTCCTAAGAAGCATTCGTAGAGAAGTAGATGCAAGATTTTTCTATACTCACACTTTGACCTGACATCTTTGAGAACTTTTCCAGACAGAACTATACAATTAAGTTGGCTTAAAGAAGCTTCTGCAAAGATAATGATGTCATCAGCAAACATAAGATGAGAAATGGGTGGCCCAGATCTGCCAGCTCTTATTGGTTGCCAGTTTTTCACCTCCACTTCATCCATGATTAAGTGAGTTAACTTCTCCATACAGAGAACAAAAAGGTAAGGGGATAGAGGGTCCCCTTACCTAATTCCCCTCTGAGATTGAAAATTGGAGGTTCTAGCACCATTCCATAGAACCTCTAAAACAGGGCTAGACACACATCCCATTATTGCTTCAACCAAATCCTTAGGAAACATCAAATCATCCAACACTGATCTGATAAATTTCCAATTTAGCTTGTCATAAGCCTTTTCTAAATCAATCTTAATAGACAAGAATGACTTCTTACCTTTCATCCTATGCATTGAGTGGATGAGCTCTTGAACAATTATGATATTGTCTTGGATATGTCTCTTGGGAACAAAGCTAACCTGATTAGGAGATATAAGCTCCCCAAGGAGAGGTTTGATTCTATTAGCAATAATCTTGCTAAAGCCCTTATACACAGAATTGCAAAGGGCTATAGGCCTGAATTGCTTCATCAAGCAAGGTCTTTCAACTTTAGGAATTAGAACAATTAATGTGTGGTTCATCTCTCCAATCTGATTAGGATGCTGCATATAAGACTGCATACTATTGTAGATTTGAGTCTTAAGAATCTCCCAATTTCTGTGGTAAAACAAAGCTGGAAACCCATCTGATCCCGGGACTTTCAAAGGAGGCATTTGGAAAAAAGCCCTCTTTACTTCCTCCATAGAGATATCCAAAGACATATTCCCTAATTGGTCCTCACTGATAGCAGGCCAGGAGTTATTAGTTTGAAACCAAGCTGGTTCTTCAGAAACCTCCTTAAAAAGGTTTTGATAGAAACTCCTAGCTAGAGCAATTAGATCCTCTTCTTCAGTTACCCAATGCCCATTATCATCCTGAAGCTTTATTATTTTGTTATTTTTCCTTCGGATAACAGTACTAGTACGGTAGAACCTAGTATTTCTGTCACCCCCTCTTATCCAATCACCCCTAGACTTTTGATACCATATCTGCTCCTTTTGATCAAGGATCTCAGATAGCTCTTTTTTTAGCTTAGCTTCCAAATCTTCCAGCTGGGAACTGTTAGTGGAGCTGAGCTATCTTTGAATGCCTTCCATTCTAGCTATAACTCTATTTTTCCTTTGCAAAGTAAACCCAAAAACATTCTTATTCCAATCCTTTAGAAGAGGAACCAGAGCATTTAAACTGTCAAGGAAATCAGAAGAGGAATTCCAATTGTCTTTAAGGAAGGAACTGAACCTAGCATCATTCAGCCAAGTGGCCAAGAACCTGAAAGGCCTCTCCTTCCACACTTTATCTTCCTTTTCCATTCTAATCAGAATTGGGCAATGATCCGAGAAGAGCCTAGGCATTACTACCACATCAGCATCTTCAAAAGTGGCTCTCCAATCATCATTAGCAACAACTCTGTCTAATCTTTTATACACTCTATCTAGGTGGAGGAATTTTGGACCCTTCCATGTAAACCTATTACAACTTCCTCCCAAATCCATCACCCCACAAACACTCAGAGTATTGGCAAATTGATTGCATTTGTTCACATCCACAGGCCCACCTCCTCTTTTTTCTGAAGTCTGAGCAATTTCATTAAAATCCCCAGATAAAATTCAAGGATCATTCATGTTTCTTCCAATATGCTTTAACTCCTCCCAAAGCACTTTGCGTTTCTCCTCTTGAGGATTAGCATACACAGCTGTCCAAAAAAAACCTTTCATCCCAGGATATTCCACCCAGCAATGAATAAACTGATCATGTTTCACCAGAAGAGAGATATTGACATCTCTGTTATTCCAAACTACCCAGATGCCACCAGCAAATCCGTGCGCATATGCAATAATATGATTTGAAAAACCCAAACTACGAATTATTCTTATAACTTTACTACCACTAACCCTAGGCTCTAAAATAGCAGCCACTCCCACACTGTGCTTTCTACAGAATCTGTTGAAAGTACCCTTAAACTGTTTTTTAGCGGCACCTCTACAGTTCCATGTGAGAATATTCATAAAGAACTCTGAGTTGATTGCAAGATTGCCAAGTTCTTGCTACTTTGATCTTGAATCACTACAGCAGGTTCCCTTAATTCAGACATCTCATTATCACAGCTAGCTCCACACTCAACATTCATAGTGTTATTCGTTGCATTACACAAAGATAATTCAAACTCCATACCTGTTTGATCTTTTCCCCTACTTGAATCCTCTCTCCTGATTGGATCAGGTGGTTCAGGTTCTGCCACAGGTACATCACAAACCAAATCATCAGCTGTAAGCTTCTTGTTGAATTGATCAGAGTTACCTTCTACCCAGTTATTATCATCATCCATCACCAAGTCACTCCATAGCTTCCCTTTTATCTGCTCAGGAACTTGAGAAAAAGGTCAGGTTGACCTTTCGCAGATTAATGATGTTGCTAGTTACAATATCAGAAGGAGGATTATGAACAACACCCTTTGCTTTAGCATTAGGAGCCTTTAAGTAAGACTTTTTAGTGCCTGGTAAGTTGGCCTTACTTCCTGAAGGCTTCTTAGCCTGAGAGGAAGCTGCTGCAGAAAAATCCATCCCCATGCCAAGGGCCTGATTCTTATCCTTTGAACTCACTTTCAACCCACAACTGGGGCTTGGTTCTAACCCCATAGTGTTCTTCTTATTGGAAATATCCTCTCCAAATCTTCTATTAATGATAGTATCTTTCTTCTGGACGTACTGTTGAGTTTTCTTCCTACACTAGACTACCATCCAGGGCCCTACTCCTTGTGGGAAAGTCTTCTCCACTGGTTGATCAAGATCCTTTTCAGCTTTAGCCGAGGGAGCAGGCTTAGCAAGGTCAGGACATGAATCAGAGTTATGACCATACCTTCCACATTTGAGGCATATCAGGAAGAAGCCCTCATACTCAACCTTCTTTCTGCTACCATCAAGTATATATTCATCTCTCAACGGCATTGAGAGATCGATCTCTATACATACCCTAGCAAACCGAGTTCTGTCTCTTGTAGAAGTTGTTCTATCTTCTTTGAGCACTTTTCCAATCACGGTTCCCAGATGGTTGAGGAACGGGAATTCACAATAATCCTGAGGGATATCTATTAGACGGACCCAGGCAGCAACCTTATGAATATTTGCTTTGTCCGGGTCAAATCGAGGTTCCCATTTCCTCGTGGCAAGGTAATGCCCTAAGATGACCCAAGGTCCACCCGTGATGGCTAGATTTAGGTCTTCCAAATTGGTAAACCTTACTGAGAAGAATTCGTTTCCCAGATCTGCCACCGTGATGCTTCCAACCTTTGCCCAAAGAGATTCAAGCTTCTTCTTCATGAAACCCGCCCCGATCCTCTTTCCTAGGAGCTTGACAATCAGTGCATTCTTCCATCGCTGGCACATCCTAGCTCTGGCCTCACTATTGCTCCTAATCTCAACTGATCCATCTTCTTTGATTATCGTTTGAAATCCCCATTTTGTAATCACACCCAAGCTTGGGTCTACTGGTTCCAGATCTGGAGCTTCTTCCTCCGCTAAGCAGGGGAATGAGTCACCTGCTACCCTGTTCTCCACACCCGTAACTTCTGCAAAGGATCTTTGTTTAGCATTCACCAAAGATCCAGCTTGATATTCTTTCGCCGCTTCCCTCATCCGTATCTTTGTGGGAATTTCCTCCCCACTCTTTGTTCTCTTAGTGCTTTTCCTCGCAATAGACAGAGAATCATTGTTATTTTCAGCCGCTTCCTCCATTGGAGATTCAGAAAATTTTGTTGAAAAAACCCTAGCAGAGGGAAAAATTTCGCGGGCGTGCAGATACGCGTTAACCCATGTTTTTGCTACCGATTATATTTTATTTTATTATATTATATATCTATCCGTTCCTCTTTTAAATTATATTATAATTTATTTCTCTGTTTAAATTATATATTAATATATTTTTTTTGTCAAAGTTTGACTAATATTTTTTAGTAAATAATCGATATTTATTCGAGTAAATAACATTAATGATTATGATTTAGTTAAACTTTAGTCAATTATAGACAAATTAGAATATACTTTGAGAAAGGAGATATATTAATATATAATTTTGAAAGGAGGGCGGAATGAGAAAAAAAAAATTTAAATAGGTGTAAAATGATTAATAAATCCTTCTAAATAAATTAAAATTATAAAAAGGATTTTTTTTTTTTTTGATTTCTAAAACAAGATGTTTTGGAGTAACGCTCATTTATTTTTATTTTATTTTTATTTTTTTGTAAATAACGCTCATTTATTAGACGAAGTAATAAACTCTTCTTAAAATAAGGTTTGTTAAAAGTTTTTTGTTATGCTTGTTAATTAAAAAAAAATTGTAAGATAATTATAAAAACAAGTTGACAAATTTTTATCTTTAATATTACTTAGTCAAACAAAATTTAATATTAATTTTCAAAATCAAATGAACAAAACGAGTGCTTTGATGGTTTATTTTCTTAAAATCTAAACAATTAACCCACATTTCTTCTTTTTAAGAAAGGATTTAATGTTTCTGTTTTTATTGCAAAAAAAATTCTCTGTCATATTTATATAAAAGTGAGCAGGTCTAAATTCTCTTCTCTTTATAATGAATCATATTCACTTTTATATGATTGTGATAGAGAAATTTTTTTTACAGTAAAATCAAAAATATTGTTCCCTTTAAAAAAACACAGAATTTTGATTGTAATAGAGATAACATATTTATCTCTGTAGTTTTTAAAATACTCAACAATATTGGCATATCTGAGATCCCACATATGCCAATATTATAGATCATTTGTTTGGTGTAATACAGCAATATTGGCATATCTGAGATCCCAGACAAATCAAAAGAAAGTTGAAAATTACCTCCAAATATTTGATTAAAAAAGGATGCTACTTTACTAACGCTTATAAACGGGTCAAATATATTCTCTCAACAGAAATGAACCCAAACAAAACTTATATAGCGGAAGGAAATGTACGTTTCTACTCAAATAGATACAAATCAGCCTCAAAATTAGGCTTTGCTGAATTAAGCTTAGAATTTCTATTATTATTTTTTAATTAAGATACACCAGTTCACTTAATTCACATCCTATTAGTAAAATATTTATATAGAAAGTTTTATGATATTATTTCTGTACATATTGGCTTAAAGTTTATGGGTAGAAACTAGAAACTATATATCTTAAACTTCTTAATTTTCTTACTTACATAAATGTTTTTTTTATAGAGAAAATTAAAATATTTTTGAATGCGTTTTAAAATATTGTTTTTTTTTTCATGCCAGTCTCTATGCAGATGCATAAGGGTGTAAATAGGTTAGACTATGTTAGATTTTGATTTAAATATGTCAGGTCTGTGTAAATACTTTTATGATTGGCCTGGCTTTTAAGCCTGTGTAGGCCCAGATTATAAGTCTGGCTGGCCTAACCTGTATTTAAAAAATAAAAATTTTGGTCTAGACCTGTTAGTCTGTTTAAGCCAATTAAACATTTAATAATTAAAAAAAAACTAAAATAACATACTTTATTATTCGAAATTATTAAAATAATAATTTTATTTAATATAAATAATATAATATATGTCGGCCTGTAAGTTTATAGGCCCGACGTATACATAAAAAGTCTATGACCTGCTTTCTAACTAAATTTTTTTAAAAAGTCTAGACCTGTTCTATTTGATTACTTGTAATAGGTTAAGTCTGACTTAATATAGACTAAACTATAAGCCTTCGTAAGCCGATCTAGTCCATTTATACCGCTGCGCACATGGATTGTGCGGTCATTAATCTATTTAATTTTAGCAAAGTTTGGCAGAAAGATATGTAAGTGCGCTAGTCATTACATAATTCTTAGAGAGCTTTTCTTAAAGTACTGGTCGTCTAAAAAGTTATGGGGTGGGAGCATAATTGCCTATCCAAACACTTCTTTATCCGTACCCACATAATTGCCTCTGTTTTCTTAAAATAATTAAAAAATAATAATTGGATCGAAACACCATACATCCTCGAACGACCACTGAGAAGTGGAGAACTTTGCAACCTTTCAAGTTCTTTAGTTGTCAATAATGCGTGCATGACTACATTTACAAACAACCTGTACGATTAGCACTTTATGCAACTTGGCATTGAGTTACTAATGCGTGCATGACTATCGTGTGCAGTGCGCTCATGCCGTTGTATTTTTATTCAACCAAGGTTGCTTCCAGCTCTTCTAATGTTTAATTTATAGAAAAATATTTATTTTTGCTCTAGAAAAAACTTTTCTGTCACTAATATAAAAATGAATGAGTCACGTTGTAAAAAATAGGAGTTCAAAATGGATTGACACGATACAAATACATTAACACGAATACGACTCAAATTTTTATTCGTGTCAAAATTTTCGATACGAACACGATACGACACAAAATAGGAGTCAAAACGATAAGTGACAAAAATAAAATAAAAAAATAAGTCGAACTAAAAAAATTCAAATAAATAATAAGTATTTCAAAAAAATATGGATCAACACGAATATAAATACATCAATACGAACACGACACAAATTTTTTACATATCATTTTTTCCAACACAAACATGACATGTTTTTTTTTGCGGGTTAACCCAAACAAAAATTTTCATATCATATCGCAAGTCGACCCGCGTGTCATAACCTATATTGACATCCCTAATAAAAAGAAGAGAGAGAAAAAATTAATGAAACTCACTCATTTATATATATGAGAAAAAAAAATTACAGCACATTAAACTCTTAATTTATGAAGGATAGGGGTGTCAATATAGGTTTTGACATAAGGGTTGACCCGCGACACGACACGAAAATTCGTGTTCGGGTTGACCCGCAAAAAAATTCGCGTTGTGTTCGTGTTGGAAAAAATGACACGTAAAAAATTTGTATCATGTTCGTGTTGATGTATTCGTGTTCGTGTCGACCCGTATTTTTTTTAAATTATTTTATTTTTAATTTTTTATTATTATTTTTTAATTTCGATCCATTTTTTTAAATTTTTTGTCAATTACCGTTTTGACTCCTATTTTGCCTGTTATTCGTGTCGTGTCGTGTCAACTCGCAAAAAATTCGTGTCGTGTCAGTGTTGAAGATTTTGACACAAATAAAAATTCGTGTCATGTTAGTATTGATGTATTCGTGTCGTGTCGAATTCGTGTCGTGTTGACCCGTTTTAACACCCCTAATGAAAGGCATTTGGCCAACACAACTTCAGATGCTCACGTACACGAACGCCTAGTCGTAAAAATTCTTCGAGCGACTGTTTTGGTTTGAGAGATAGTGAGTGAGTTCTATATATACAGCTTATTATTAAAGATAATATAAGAAATTGTTAACGTGATTTACTTTGAGTGAAAGAGAGCTCAATTACTTAAAATTTAAATTTTGGCATCAGTTTCTTATATGACAAATCATTCAAGGAACCTACACAGATCTCCATATCCCTAAACAGGACCCCCACAAATTGGCTTGTGTAAGATCTTTGCTAAGCGAGCGGGATATAATACCTTTCGTTATCAAGGGCTAGTCATCAAGGAATATATATACTAAGGACAAGAATTTCAATATCTATTGTCGTCTATTACCTTAAGCAAGATAAGATCATAAGAAATGTCATTGGCAACTTATTCAGACATGAATCTTTAGGATATAATACCTAAACATAGACCACAAATCACAACTTGATGAAGCCTTAAAAGAAGGTTCACCGTCTAATCCGTCAAACCTGCTAACTATCAACGGTAATCTAATAGCTAGGTTAAGTCATTATTTTTCCTAGTGTAAGAGTTAAAAAAGCAAAAAGCATACAATGCCTACCCACGAAACGCACGAAGATAGCAACAATAATATTAGTAAACTATTAACCTCCATGGTCCAAAATCAATCTTCCTTAGGCACCCTAAATCATCAATCTCTCAAATATAGTTATTAGCTCTAGTATGTTGTTTTGCAAAAAGGATAAGAACAAGGGATTCTGTATATGAAAAAATAGTACCCTCCTGTCAAATGAAGTTTAAACTAGTCATTATCTATGTACAAAAATGACGGTAAGCTGATGCCAAATGTTTGAATAAATTCATAATTACCAGCTTTCATACAGATAGTGCCTTAACCTTTATCAAATCAACCGATTGCACCTGAAAAGCTGAGCAATCACCCTGTTAAATACACTCTTGTTCGATTATTAGCCTGTAGACGAGGAAGACTGGTAGAGGATCCTTTCTTATGACTAGGAAAACCTAGACATGTGGTCCTGAACTTGAAATCCATACAAATTATCAAGGAAGATTCAATTATTTGATCAAGATGGGGATCAAGAGGATAAATTCCTTTCACCGGTGAAGAGAAGGGAGGATCCAAATTAAGCATGGGAAGTGAATCAGCAGCAAACCCAGGCCCGAGCTCCAACAAATTATCAGTGTCTTTCTCTATCAAATCACTGTACAGTGACAAATTTTTTGGCACTTCACAGAATGATCTGCCATGTCACCCTCTTGTTCAAGCATCTATTTACTACTGTATTTCTTAAATAAGACGTTAAACATTATGAGGAAGCCACGGTGCCATATCCCCACACCCATACCATTATCTTACTCGTACCTGTATCCATGCAACACACAGACATTCTGGGATTCCTACACTTACAAGGGAACATGTAGTTTCAAAACAAACAACTGTTCCATTAAAATCCAAAATACTAAACTATTACTTCTTCCAAGTAGCCTAAAGCACACCAAGTAAATAAAAAATTTCTATTCATTTGGTTGAGATCCTCACATAGAACATGTCATAATATTCCCAGATTACAGATGCCTTATTGCTGGAAATAACAAAACTTCTTTAATTAATCATAGAAGCACTTGCACACCTCAATTTTCTTCATAAATATGTTCCTGCATCATAGCTCCATATTGTCCTGAATCTACTTAATCATTCAAACATCCAAAATAATGCCAACAGAAGGATTTTAAACAACACATTCATCAATCATTTCTTCCAATAACAAACCATCTAGCTAATTGACCAAAAAGGGGTAACTTAAATTTGTCTCCCTATGATTTTGAATCTGTAGTCAATTTATGTATATATTTTTTCAACTGCTTTTCTCTATCCATAATGTTAAAGCTAGGGATAACCTACATTGCCCACAAAACAGCATTGGGCTACCACCAACTTCAACTAATTTGGTATAAAGACATTGCTAATGTTGACGGCATTGGGCTACCTATGTGCCTTCTACTCATTTTCACAACAACAGGGAACCAAACATCGCAGCAAAAAACATAGAATTAGAATTTACTATCCACACGAAAACACATCAGATGATTAACCACACAAGCGGTTAACAAAATTCAAGAGTAGTTGATACATTTAATTGATTAACCACTCTTAAAATCAATCACGGCACATTAGAAATAGCCTTCATATCAAAACCCCAAACTGTAATTCTTACACGAAAGAAAAACACATGTCAATCTCTAACTACCCCTCAAGAAACAACCCCATGAGTTAAAATTCGCAACTTCCTCCACCAGCCAAAAAAAATCTACATTTTTTTTTTTTGGCATTAAAACATTTAGTAGAAGGAACAATCACATGACTCGAAAGTAACAGGTTTAATTCATGTAACAAAACACATTATAGCAAACAGTTATTCATAGAAGGCCAATAACTGGCAGGGGAGTCTAAAACACCATACATAATTTTCAGCATATCCAAAATACAATGAAAAGGTTCAAACAAGTTCCGCTCGTTCTCCAAATTGATGACATTATTCAATAAAATAAAATAAAAAATAAAAAGGGTCCGAACCTAGGAAGTGTCCCAGGGTTTAGGTTCGGGGAGAGCGACGACCATACCTTGAAGGTCATGGCTGAGGAGGACCTGGCAACCGAGCCTGGAGTGTTTGTTAAGGACCCTAGCTCTGGAGGTACGTTTGAGAATGACCTCCTCGTCGTGTGACATGGGTGGGAGCTTGTCGAGCCATTCTTGTGCGATGTTGACCTCGCATTCTGCTGAGCAGGCGTCGATGTCTTCGAGCCTGTGTGAGTCTGGGTCGATCAGGCCCGTGTTGATTAGGGCCTTCAGGAGTGTATGGCCCGTCAGGCCCAACACCTCGTGCTTCTTACCCTCGAAGTCGATGGCCGACAGCCTCACGATCCGGTCTGACACCTTCTTCGATGACGGTGATGATGATGATGATGATGATGATGATGAGGAAGATGAAGCGGTGGATCGGGAGATTAGGGATTTGGAGAAGAAGGAGAGAGATGAGAGGCGGTGGACTTGTGAAGACAGCCTCTGCAGATTCGCCACTGCCATTGTTGCTTGGGTTAGGAGGAGCTTGTCCCTGTCTAGAGAGAGATTGTGTTGTTTAGAAGGGAAAATGGAAGAAATGGCGATGTTGGTTGCGGGCTTTTTCCCCTGGGTTGGGCCTAAATTTCTTTTCAGGAAAAAAAATATTATTCTTATCCAATCTCAGCAGTTTGATTATTTTACTATGTAATCAGCTTCATTCTAAATTCACATTTAATCCAATTTATTCTAAAGAGGTTTGGATTGGATTATATTTATATATTTTATTTTAATTTTTTATTTTTTGCCCAATTTAACTATAAAAAAGTGTATAAATACATAAAGAAATAGTATGAATAGAGTTGACCTAAAAACATTATCGTTCATCAAAAGAGATTAATTCAAATGATACATGCTTAATTCTACTTAATCAAAATTTTGGGTTCACCAAATGGCTCCAACGAGGCAAAATCTTGGTCCTAGTTTGGTAGAAAATTAACCAAGCCTTTTGATATAGCTTGCAGCTTTATTTTAAATTCTTTTTTTTTTTTGTTGGTTTCCCAATGTATCCTCTAACCGACAGCTGAAGATTAATTCTTTCAAGACAGGAGATCATATTAGGTGAATAAACCTCTCCCAACAAAGAATTTTTCATACACACGTTTAGGAATTAAACTCCTGTCAACATGCTTAAAGAACTCAGTTATCTACCAACTGTTTAATTATTTTAATTTTTTTGTTACAGTAATAAGAGCTTCTTCTTCACTTTAAATTTGAGCTAAGCATTAGTTAAAATCTAATCATCATTTAAAGGTCACTGGATTTTGGTTTAAATTTTGCTATAAATGCATTATTTTTAACAGTCAATATTTATTTTTCCCTCTCATAAAAGGATATTACTCTTGCTCCAATTTTATTTTAATTTTTTAAACTCAAGTTCATCGAGTTAAATGAGCAAAGTGTAGCTTATATTAAGTTGGTGAGGGTTGACTCGTTGATTTGGACTCGCTGACATAGTAACATGTTTTAGCAGTTTTCCTGTCCTTTAACTCAAACCAAATCTTATGCTACAATGTACAATACACTGCATCCTAGTGGCACTGTGTTGCATTTCCTCTCAGTACATCTATGGATCTACATAAAAATATGGTTTCAAAATAGTTGAACAAAAAGGTAGAGGGAGGGGTGATACCTTGTGCCAGTAGAATGGATCTAATGTAAAAATGCAAAATAGTTGTACTAAAAAAAAAAAAAGTTAAAACTAATCTTATGTTGCATAAGACAGTGTATCTCATGTTGTGAAATAAAATCAAGATGAGATCCACTAAAAATTAAAAAGAAAAAAAATCAAGATGAGACCCACTAAAAAATAAAAAAGAAAAAAAATAAAGATGAAACCCACCTTGATTTTGTTTCACAACATGAGATATACATCTTATACAACATAGATTAGTTTTACCCAAAAAAAATGCAAAATAATATTCACATAAGAATGACAAAAGAATAGCACAGCAGATAATAAATCGTTACAAGTACCAAGAATAAGTCTTTTCTAGCAATTCTTTCATACGATTATTATTAAAAAGAGAGAGAGAGAGAGAGAGAGAGATTTAATGTCAGACAAAACAAAAAGGGAAGATGGCTACATGGTGAACAATTTTAATGAAAAAAGGAGTCACTAGAAATAGAAACTTCACCAGTGACATTACTCAATCAGAACTAAATTATTTTGTAATCCAAGTAGTGACTTATAATTCTCATGAGTGGCACGCATTTAATCAAGAACTCGATTCACAGCAAAAGGTTTGCTATCAACTTTTCCTGGACAGCCCAACACCATATCAACGACCATTTCAGCAGTCCCCAAAGCCTGGAAATTTCTCCAGAATCAGAAAATTCCTCAATTACCTTTAGTTCAAAAACAATTGCATTTCCTTGATACAATGTATATTCAGAGAGCATGCTAACTACAGTTTTAGTTTAAATAGGCAACGTTATTTAAATTATTTATTTATTTATTTTAAATCTAAAATTAGGAGTCTCTGATAACTCACCATTGAAAGCCCACCACCTTCATGTCCAGCTGCAAGGTACACATTTGACAAGCTAGGCACAGGCCCAATCATTGGCTTCCCATCAGGCACTGACAGAGTAAACATTATGCAAGTCAAATATAATACATTAGAGGGGTGTCATACTTATAACTTTTTACAATTGTTAGTTTAATATCAAATCAATGATTCTCACTTGATGTCAATGATAACAAAAATAGTTGTAAGGAAAAAAGGTGTGATAAGTATAACCTCCCATAACATATTATGTAGACAGATTTTGGAAATGTAAATAAAAGGGGAGGATTAACTTACACTGATGTAAGGATAACAAATGATACAACCTATATTAGCCATTGATCCTTCTTGCATTTGACGGCTCACATCATGACTAATAAATTATAGCCGTTGAATGCAAGTACGACCAACGGCTAATAACGGATATAAATTTGTTACTTTTACTGTGTTAGTTGATCCTTCGTGTAAATAAAATATAAACAGTTAAGCTGCATAAGATTGCAAAGAGATATTGTGACTCACTGTAAGGTCGTAATCCTATTCTGACTTTTCTTCTTGCACTTAAATCTGAAAGGGAAAGCATTTTCAATTTGGGAAAGAATTCTCCAACCCGCTTCCATATATAACTGACAACAAACTCGTCCAAATCAGTGCTGAACCCAACAAATTCACGGCTACTCCCTTTGATAGTTGATAAGATTTTGGTTATTTTACCACAAAAATAAACAAAAAGAATGTCAAAATTCAAGACCAGTATTAGAAGCATATGCATCCACATTAATCTATTTTAATTTATCAATTGATGAAGGATATGAAAATAGAGTCAAGTTGAGGCAAAAAGATAACAATTCAACCCAATTGCACGTCTGAACAATTTAATAAGGACAATATATTATTCCCCCACAACCCTCACCCCCCAATAAATATATATATATATATATATATATATATATATATATAATAGAAATATAACAATAAATAAACGCCATTTTATATAAACAAATGAAACCATGAGCATCTAATAAAGAGGAAAACAAGTGATTGGATGACTGCCACTTACACTTGTTTGTTAGGAAATCCTTTAAAAACTTAAAAAAGTAACATATGCAATCACCGACATACAGATTGACAAAATAAGCTTCTCCATTGGAGATATTTATATAGACCATAGAAAAGAAGCTGACCAAAAAGAAGATTCCCAGCTGCATCTACAGTTGCTGTCATTGAAACAGATAAGTTTCGTCCATGATCGGAGGATTCTAAACCAGAAACTGTTGGATGGTCAATATAACCTGCCTCCATCAGGCCATGGTTCAGCTGAAGGAAATTGATATTCTGAAGCTCTAGTAGGTGACCCTTCACACCAAACAGAAAAAGAAGTATAAAAGGAATATAGGGCTCAATCAAACAACAAAAAAACTTGATCAGCTTAAATCATTCTATGCATTTTAAAGGAATTTTACTCGAGATATGACAGTACCATGCATGATCAACCAGAAGAACATTTGTTTGCACAGGCTACTATTCCATGAGAGACTAGGGTGCTCTTGCTTTTTGTCACAATGCCTAAGAGTCAAAAGTCATTTACTCAATATCCCAAATATGCTATGACATACTAACACTCAAAATATGAAAATAAATAAACCTAAGGCTCAAAATTTAAATCCATCACTGCATTAAATATTTAATTCTAGTACAATCTTAAAGAGAAACTTCATCGTTATATGACATGACACATAATTCTACTCCATCCTTCATGTTGTCTTGTGCCAAATATAGCACTAAATTTTTTTTGAAGTCATAATCGGTCAATGGCTGATGAAGACAACTGTTACTATCAAGAATCAATTCAACATGACAACGTAAGCTTTTGGGTTGAAATGATTCTTGATATGGTATTTGAGCCTCTAATCAAGTGGTCACGAGTTCGAAACTCACTATCCCTCATTTATTAATAAATAATTAAATATTGTAGAGTTTTTTAGCACAGGTAGATGGACTTATACATTGTCCACCATTCAAGCGCAATAACCTCTAGTGTGAGGGAGTGTATTAGAGAAATATAATATAAAATCATTAATGTGACCTTCATTTCATAACTCAACCTTTTGGGTTGAAATGATTCTTTACAACAACTATTAAAAGCAAATTATGGAAGGGATGGGCAATACTTCTTCTATGGAATAAGGAAAACAGAATTTACAAGCTTAAAAAAGTAGGCGTGCATTCGAGTAATTGGACCATCCAATCTTATCAGCATGTGCAAAAGATACAGGTGCTTTTCTCATGGGCATGTAACATCAACGCTACTCACTTCACCACTAGTTTGAGTTGTGGGATATTCTAAAACGAATTCTTCCATTTGAAAATCAAAAACAGCAGAAAGAAGTCAAGCCTACACAGTAAAGTTTTTTAATATGATCAGCAATATAATAAAGCATCAACCTGAGTCAAATTTGTTCAAACAAAAGTAGGGCTAATTACAATCCAGAAATCAATCGACCATGATAATTATCAATAATTTCCTTTTTCCATTTCTTATTTTGTATTTCACTTTTATTTTTCCTACTTTATAGATTTTAATACCTTTCTAAACATTCAAAAATTGAGGTGTTTTACAATTCATCAATCATACAAAACATGGCCAAAACACTATACTCACTCATGTTGGCATGAGAAAATGATATGCTTCCACATGGCTCTTTCACCTACTCCCACTATAACCCCCCCAACTCATTTCTTGCCCAGGCATAGCTTGGCACATTTATGGAATCACAGAAACAAGAAGCCATAAAAAACTGGCATCATAATCAACAAAAATGCTCAAGGTAAGCAGGTTTCTTGTCTGCATTTGAGAGAAAAAGTTAACAAAAGTGTGGCATCATTAATTTGATGATAGATTACAAATGCCGACATCGAGGGACTGCACCAAATTTATTTTAAAATTTATAAGGACAAAAATGGAAGCAGCACACCCAAAAATTCAGGTACTAAATTGAAACCTGAAGTTAAGAATAGGGGCTTGAAATGAAAGGAAATATCAGACAATGATGCAAAACAAATATGCCAGAATTTATTACATTTTCAAGCAAGAAACTGAATGGATTGTTTAGAGAGGAAATTTTGGGTCCTTTAGGAAAAATACTACAATGTCGCTAAGCATACACTGAATAGATTTTAAAAATCTTCGTTCTTGTTAGAACTTTTTTTAAGAAGAGACACTATGAGACTGAGACAGAAGGCTTCTGTATTTTATTGCCCTCATTTGGCACAACCCATAAATCAAAGTGTACAGCTAAGAAAATTCCATAACTGTCACAACTTCATTTCCATTTACGCGGTAAAATGTACCATAGTGCATGGTAAATGACAATATTTGGTAAAACTATGAAGCAATTCTAAGACATGCAAGATTAGGTCATTTCTGTTGGGTATGGCTCATACTTCACATGATGATGTTGGCCCTAATTGTCGGGGTCAGCAGAAAGGCCCGTAGAGGCTAGGTAATGTTTAGGCCTCTGTTTCTATTGTAATTTTCTTAGCAGTTTGGGCTTGGGCCCATGAATAGCTGCTGTTAGGGTTTCTTGTAATCCTATTTATATTTGCCTTGTAAACCGAGAGACTTGTAACGAGTGGCGGTGAGGTGAATATAGTACAGACAAGCTGGACGTAGCCTATATTGGGTGAACCAGGGTAAATCATCTTGTCAATCTCTCTACTCTTATCTCCTTTTTTGTTTTCTCGATTCTGTGTGATTGTCGATTTCCAACAATTGGTATCAAGAGCTTTGGTTCTGCGACCAGGGTTCCTGTGACAGATTGGGGTTTCGCGATTTAGGGTTTTTTCTTGGCATAGATAAAACTGCGAAATTGATCTGGAGAGGATGTCGACTGGCCAATCACGGGTCGAGGTTGAAAAGTTCGGAGGAAAAGGGTTCGAGTTATGGAAGCTGAAGACGGAGGCTCTGCTCGTTGACAGGGACGTGTGGTACGTGATCGAAGATGATAAGCCGTCCGTACCAACAAAACCCGTCGGTGAAGAAACGTCAGGTGATGGCGAGTCGAAGGAGTTGAAGGCGTGGACCAGAGACGATCGAAAGGCGCGAAACCTGATCTGGTTATGCCTGGCTGATAACGTTCTGGTGAACGTAACTTCTGAGAAGACCGCGAAGGATCTCTGGACGAAGCTGGGAAGTCTCTATCAGAGCAAGTCACTCGTGAACAAGCTGTTCCTGCGAAGGAGGCTGTATAATCTGCGGATGAGCGAAGGTGATTCTTTCTCTGCTCATTTAAATGAATTTAATACTATTTGTGCACAACTTTCGTCTATAGACATTAACCTGGACGAGGAAGACAAAGCTTGCACCTTATTGAGTTCACTGCCCAACTCTTGGGAGCACATCATTGTGTCAATTGGTACTAGTGTTAATAAACTGTCGTTTGAGACGGTTGTTGCTGCCTTATTGTCTGAGGAGATGAGAAAGGTAGGTTCTGAAGGTACCAACAATGAGGCTCTGGTTGCTAGAGGGAGGAGTGATGACAAATCAAAGTCTGGTCACAGAGGAAGATCGAGGGGACGATCAAAGTCCCGTGATAAATCTGATAAATCTGAAATGAGGTGCTGGAGGTGCAAAAAGGTTGGACATCTGAGAAGGAATTGCAGAAGTAAAAGTGTAGGTCCTGAGAAGCGGGATGATTCACAACCGTCTGCTTCGGGTACAAAGAAGGATGATGATGATAGTACAGGGGACCTGTACATGGCGTTTGACAGTCATAATGACTGTAATGATTGGATTATTGACACTGGAGCATCGTTTCATATGACACCTCATAGGGAGTGGTTCTGCACCTATGAATCGTATTCTGGCGGTACAGTTAGAATGGGAGATGACACGACTCATGCAATTGTGGGGCGTGGCAAGGTAAAGCTGAAGATGAGTGACGGGACAGTCAAGAATCTGCCGGGTGCGATGCATATTCCGGGGCTTACCAGAAATCTGATCTCCGTTGGTAGTATGGCAGATGCTGGTATTAATTTTAGCAGTGACAAGTATTCTTGCAAGCTGACTCGAGGAGCTTTGGTTATTGCAAGAGGAGAGCGTCATGGTAAATTGTGGAAACTGCTGGGTAGCACAGTATTCAGTGGTGAAAGCTATGTTTCAGAACAGGCGGAGGAGGACACTGCTATGTTATGGCATAGGAGGTTGGGGCATATTGGAGGAAAAGGTCTGGAGACTCTAACATCAAAGAAGTTGGTGGATGGAATTCCGAGCTGCTCTATGGGGTTTGGATTTTGCGAGCATTGCCTGCAAGGGAAGCAAAATCGGGTATCTTTTGATTCCATAGGAGGAAGAGCTGAGGGGGTTCTGGACTTGATACACAGCGACGTGTTTGGCCCCACACCTGTAGCATCACATGGAAAATCAAGGTATTATGTTTCTTTTACTGATGATTTTTCAAGATATGTGTGGTTATATTTCTTGCGCAGCAAGGATGAAGTGTTCGATAAATTCTGCGAGTTCAAGGCTTTGGTGGAAAATCAATTTGATCAAAAAATCAAGGTGCTGAGAACTGACAATGGAGGGGAGTTCTGTTCAACAAAATTTGACCAGTTTTGTGCGAGCAATGGGATTGTAAGACAGAAGACTACGCCCTACTCACCTCAACAGAATGGGGTGGCAGGGAGGTTGAATCGATCTCTAATGGAGAAAGCACGGAGTATGCTGAGCGGTGCAGGCTTGGCAACTGAGTTTTGGGCAGAGGCAGTGGCTACTGCTTGTTATCTGAAGAACAGATCTCCTACATCAGCTTTGAAGGAGAAGACTCCGTATGAAGCACTGTTTAAAAAAAGGCCAGACGTATCTCATATCAGAGTGTTTGGCTGTGAAGCTTATATGCACGTACCCAAGGAGAAAAGAAACAAGCTTGACAGTAAATCTGAAAAGTGTATCTTTATTGGGTACAAGAATGGCGTCAAAGGTTATAAGTTGTGGAATCCGGATACTAGAAGTGTAACTTACAGCAGAGACGTTGTATTCAGAGAATCTAAGTTGAATCAGATTTTTCCTGAAGCTCCTGAAAAGTCACAGACAGTGCAGTTGGATGTGGGTTTGAAAGAGGATACAATAAACTCACAGGTTGAATTGGAAAATTTGAATTCTAAAGCTGCTGAATATAATGAGGTAGAGGATGAATTTTCTGAAACTGAGGCTGAGGTTGAAGCACCAGTGCTGAGGAGATCCACGAGGGAAAGAAGACCATCTGAGAGGTATACACCTGAAAATTATATCATGTGTGCTAGTGATGATGTTTGTGCATTTAGTATTACAGGTGATGATCCGAGCACTGTAAAACATGCGAGGAGCTCGGAGGATGCCAAACAGTGGGAGGAAGCTATGAAAGAAGAGATGAAGTCTCTGATGAAAAACCAAACTTGGAGTTTGGTGAATCTACCTGCAGACCAAAAAGCAATTGGTTGCAAGTGGGTGTTCAAGAAGAAGGTTGGTGCCAATGGGGAGATTGAACGCTACAAGGCTCGATTGGTTGCAAAGGGATATTCACAGACATAAGGGGTTGATTATGGTGAGGTATTTTCACCTGTTGCAAAGTTAAATTCCATAAGACTGGTTTTGTCTGTAGCAGCTGCATATGACCTAGAGGTGGAGCAGCTGGATGTGAAGACAGCTTTTCTTCATGGTGATTTGGAGGAGGTTATTTTCATGAAGCAACCAGAGGGGTTCATTGCAAGAGGCAAAGAGGAGCTAGTCTGCAAGCTGAATAAATCTCTGTATGGCCTGAAGCAGTCCCCAAGGATGTGGTACATGAAGTTCGACACTTATGTGCTGAAGCTTGGCTTTGACCGTTGTGATGCTGATCACTGTGTTTATGTGAAAAGGTTAGAAGGTGACTTTGTTATTCTAACTTTGTATGTTGACGACATGTTACTCGTTGGAAACAGTTTGAAAATGATCAGCACTGTTAAAGGACTGCTAGCAAAGCAGTTTGAAATGAAAGATCTAGGCGCTGCAAATGTGATCTTGGGTATGCAGATTAAGAGGGAGCGTGACAAACGAAGATTATGGTTAAGTCAGCAGAAGTACATAGAAGATGTTCTGAAGAAATTCAAGATGACTGACTGCAAGCCTGTGTTGACTCCCATGTCTACTGGTTCTAAGTTATCGGCTGACCGGTGTCCCAAGACTGAAGAAGAAAAAGAAGAGATGGCGTCAGTTCCTTATGCTAGCGCAGTAGGGAGTCTGATGTATGCCATGATTTGTACTCGACCTGATATTGCTCAAGCAGTGGGAGTATTGAGCAGGTATATGTCCAAGCCAGGAAATGAGCATTGGACGGCTGTGAAGCGTGTGTTCCGCTATCTTCGTGGTACGTCTGACCTTGGGTTATGCTATGAAGGCGTGAAGGGCTCAAGGGGACAGACATTGTTAGAGCTGAGATGCTTTGTGGATGCTGATTGGGGAGGTGACATTGATAGTAGAAGATCTACAAGTGGATATGTTGTTTCTTCATTTGGCGGAGCTATCAGTTGGATGAGTAAGAGGCAGAGCACTGTTGCTTTATCTTCTACAGAGGCTGAGTACATGGCCTTGACACATGCTGTTAAGGAAGCTATTTGGTTACGGAGGTTGTGCAAAGAGCTTGGCTTTGCACAAGGAGAGATGATCGTTGGGTGTGACAGTCAGAGCGCCATTTTCTTGGCTAAGAACCCAGGTTTCCATGCGAGGACCAAGCATATCGGCATACAGTACCACTTCATCAGAGAGAAGATTGAAGACAAGGTTGTATTGCTGGAGAAGGTTGACACAAAGGTCAACAATGCTGATTTTCTGACCAAGGCAGTGACTTCGGAGAAGTTTGAATGGTGTACAGATGCTTTGGGATTGAAGAAACATGTGAAGCATTCACCAAGTGGGAGAATGTTGGGTATGGCTCATACTTCACATGATGATGTTGGCCCTAATTGTCGGGGTCAGCAGAAAGGCCCGTAGAGGCTAGGTAATGTTTAGGCCTCTGTTTCTATTGTAATTTTCTTAGCAGTTTGGGTTTGGGCCCATGAATAGCTGCTGTTAGGGTTTCTTGTAATCCTATTTATATTTGCCTTGTAAACCGAGAGACTTGTAACGAGTGGCGGTGAGGTGAATATAGTACAGACAAGCTGGACGTAGCCTATATTGGGTGAACCAGGGTAAATCATCGTGTCAATCTCTCTACTCTTATCTCCTTTTTTGTTTTCTCGATTCTGTGTGATTGTCGATTTCCAACAATTTCAAGCTGCATATAGACTCACCTTTCTGGGCCTTACAGGAACATGTAACTCCATCCCCCAATTTCTAAACAAATCCTGCATCAAACAACCAGTCCAACAACCAGCTGCAACTATTATTGCCTTCTTGCTGTATAATGTATTCTTGAAAGTCTGAACAGCTTTAACCTCTCCATTGCTATCCGACCTGAGCACAAAATGAAAGCATTTACTCAACAATATTTGCTTAACTACCATCTTGCCTTCAGTGCCGCCGATAGTGCAACAGAAAGAGAAAGAAAATTAAACCTGATGAAACATTTCACTGGGTCATCATAAAATTCTGCGTATCTGCCTTTTGATGCAAAATTCATGTTAGCCTACAAATCACAGTGGCAAGTTTTTAGTTGAAAGAAAAATGTAAATATTGATAATTACTTACAGCAAGTAAAAGACATGCAAAGAAAAATTGAGCAAGCCCTGGGAAGGGAAAAAATGGTCTACAGAGAGTTGCCCTCAATATGGGTCCGACAGTGCTCGAATCGGATTAGTTGGGTAATTGATAAACCGGTTGCGAAACCAAAAAAAATAATAATAATAAAATAAAATAAAATAACCAAGAATACAGAACCTTTTCAATATATGCAACAGTACGATGAGCATCCAATTGGCAGTCATCCGGTAGAAATGCAGCTGCACTGTCTTTGTCCACCAACAGATCAGGTTCTTGTTTAAACAAATCACTGCTACATAGGTACTCGGCATTCAACCCAGCCTCACTAAGCTGTCTCACCCTCCCCTTTAGCATGTCTGACTTTGCATGAGTTCTACCAACTAATAGGCTTCCTGAAGATCAGAAGACATTTCATATCATGATTTTAATCATTGGAGAGAAGAAGCCTAAAACTTTCATGATCATAAATACAATCCCACTTGCAAATTGTGCACATAACACCTTATGGAAGACTGAAAAGGTCAGACACACCTTAACTGCTTCAGGATAACCCATAGCAACCAATTAGCATCTAAAATTCACAATATGATAGATATAATAACTTCAATATGCTACTACTTATATTTATTATATTTCAATTTTTCCCTTCAACCAAATAAATACACAGGCAGATCTACATTTCAAATTTAGAAAGCAGCATGATGTAACTTATCAGTTGTTTTATTCTATATTAAAAAATATATATATATAAAAACTTCAAGTCAACTCTCTTCTTAAAGAACTCAGTCTTTATCTTTCTATCTATTGTTCTCAGACGTAAAAAAAAAAAGTGCTTGCAGAAACTTTTTTAAGACTTATAGCATCATGGCACCAAAGGATAGATGCTAAAGGCACACCCCAGGTGCAAGGCACACCATTTAGTTCCTCCTCATAGCCAGAGGATCTTCTGGTTTGGAGAGGGAATAGCATTGAACATGTCCCCAGCATAAATTTCTTGGCACCAAAGTGCCATGCGTACTGTAAAAAAAAAGAGAAGAAGACATATAAACACTTCCTAAAAAAACTAAATATATTTTTGTGTTTTTTGTTTGTAGAGCGGGGTTCTATATAACGTGATTAAGCAATTTCATATAACAATTGAAGTTTTAAACTATAACGCAACCAGAAACTTCATTTTGCTGACCCCACTCCTAGAGCTGCCCTTGCACCTTGCATCTGCTTTGATGGCTCACAATTAAAAGATGAAACTTTTATATGCAGCATGCAAGACACTTTATTGATTTGCCTCCCTTCGAAATTGCAGTACAAACAATGAGAAATTTGTAGAAAGCTATAGCAATTATACCAGTTTTTTTCCAACCCAACTCCACCAAAGGATTCAAGCCTTGCTCTTTTAGGCTTTCTGCCAGCATCTTCCAAAGTTGATGACTTCTCCATGTAAGATCCCATGTTCCACTTCCAGGTGTTTTGTGCGCCATCCACAGATATCCCTGCCCTGGAACCAGCTCAAATTCCAAAACAAAGGAGAAGAGATCCTACAGTTAATCAAAATTCAGCATAAAAATATTTTTTCATTCTACAATAATATAAAGGAGAAAAATTGGAAATCTCACACCTTACCTTGAGTAGCCATAAAAATAAAAATATGATAAAAAACCATAACATACAATCTAAAGAGACATGAATGAAAATAACTCACAGTATCTTCCCAGTGATAAACAGAAGCTAACAATGTCAACCCACATTCCATGCTATGAAAAAGCAAAGTAGGCCAATATTCTACTACCTGAGTATTTGATAAGAAAAACTGTCTATGCTAGGTGTTGAACAAATTATTATTATAAAAAATAATTGAAACACACATTTTCAAAGAAATAAAAAATGATCATTTCATTGCCTTATTCAAAGAAGAAAATATTACAAAACACATTTGTTACGGAAATATAAAACCATTAATGTAGCTCTACCATATTAACTTAAACTTTTAGATTGAATTGGTGTTTTATATGATATCAGAGCTGGTGTGACAAAGCGGTCATATGTTCGATACTCACCGCCCCTTCCTATTAATAAAAAATAATTAAGTATTGTGGAGTTTCTTAGCACAGGTAATTGAATCCTTATATTGTCCTCCTTAAAGTCTTGTGGGCTCTAGTTTGAAGAGTCGTGTTAGAGAAATATAAAACCACAAAGTAAAACACACCCATCAATTCAAGTAACACACTAAAACTAGAGCTGCAGCAATTCAAAAAATTTACTGAAGAAAACAGAACATACATATAAGAAGAGACAAATAAAAGGGGTATGATTGAAATCTTAGAAAAAATGGGTTACCTGCACCAGTGGCACCAGAACAAGGGACACCCTTATCAACTATGGCGACTGATAGGTCCGAACCCATCAGAAACTGGCGAGCGATGGTTAACCCGATGATGCCAGCCCCGACTATCACAACATCAAACTCTTGAGAAGAAGAAGAAGAAGAAGAAGAAGATGTGGGACTAAACCCAGAGAGCTGACCCAGTTGGTTCCTACTGGCGGGGATTTTCCAGGAAAGTGATTTCCGGGAAAATGAAGAGCCAATAAAGGTGTAATGAGAGGAAAAAGCATGAGGGTGAGTGATGTTGTGGCTGTGAAGGGTGGGGTTGCGGAAGAATGTAGAGTGTGAAGCCATCACAGTGTGTTCCTTACTACTAGTGCTTTTCAATCAAACTTGTTTTGATTTTTTCGGTTCCTTCCTACAGAGACGAGGAAGAGCAAGTTGGTCAATGGATTCTTTTTAGGAATCCTCGAAAATAGTTTCGGTTTTGTTATTGAAAATAAATCATGTTCGTGACAGTCCGCCATAACACATGGCGATGGCATCTCTTTTTGGAGTCTAATTAAATAATGTTGCATTATTATTATTATTATTATTTAAACAAAAGAATATTAAAAGGTGAGGTAGTTGATGAGTCCGATCCAAAATAAGATGAGCTATATTACACACGGTTGAAAGTTGCGGGCCTCAAGGCTTCTTGCAAGATAATCTACGTGATGGTGGAAATGAATTTTCCTTGAAGTGTTTATGTTGTAACTCTAGCACAATGAAAGTGACTGGGGTGATTGGGGTGGTGATTTCGATGTTTAAGTCAGTATCAATGCAAGGTGTATAATGTTTGAAATGAAGAGATGTATATACCTGGGCTTGTACCTTCTATATTTATAGTATGCTATGTGTTGTTCTTTGTGGGCATTTGTTTTAAAATTCGGACCGATCATTGACTCGGTTGAGGTATTGGGTCAGTGGTTCAACCGGATTTAACCAGGTTCAACCGGATTTTAAAATAATATATAATAAATTTATATAAATATATTATTCATATTAACAACTCATGGTGCTTTTCACATTTCCTCAAACAAGTCGTGTACAAAAAATTTGAATAGTGATTAATTTTAAATTAAACAAATATAAAATGAAGTATATCAATTGAAGATGGATAAATATTAATGTTTATTCCACGAAACAGTTACCCGTTCTTCATTATCTTCCCAAAATGGTTAAAACATCATGCATTGATCATCCAAAGTAAACATTTCTGACGTCATTTGCATCCACATCTTAGGTGAGTCCAAAGGTCAGCATTGTTGCTCCAATGAACGCCACTTTCTTTGTCTTCTATGTTACTACTTAACGCGATAAGACCCAAATAAAAACTATCTCATTATTTTTCTTTTTCTGCTGCACTCTCCAAAAACATGTTCGTCGCCTTTGCTTCCCGGTGAGTTCTTTATCCACTTCTTCTTCTTCTCCTCTCATTCTTCTCACTACTAAATAGTGTCAAATCTGAGGAGCGTCAAATTCTACTGAACCTGAAATCCTCACTTAAGAATTCAAATTCAAGAGTGTTTGACTCATGGAATGCAATTAATTTCATGGAATGAGACATCATATGCAGCTGTGTCTTGAACCAGATTCTGGTTTTGGTGCGTGGCTCACAAATTTTCGACACCCATTTTCTCTTTAATGAAGATTTGACAGTGCGAGCTTGGTTTGAAGGTTGAGGAGGTTCCACATCGACCAGTACATAAGAAAGATATCAGTTTATAAACCATTTTGGATGAACACAGTACAACTTGCGTTACTTAATTGTCATCAGGTGATGGGTAAAAACAACCCGGCGGGTTTCGTACCGTTATGACCGTCACGCCTTTGGGCCCTTCCTGGATCTCTAATTATTGGACCTGTACTTTATTCGGATCGATAATGGATCTCATATATAGCAAAATGGGTTAGGTTGTATATTTCAACTCGCCTATATGCATAACACATTAAAACAAGACCAGGGGGCGGGGCAACTCGCATGTAATTTTTTTAAAATATATATTAAATATTAGATTATGACTTGATTGATCTATATGAATGATTATTATGTGAGACAAAATATTTTATTTTAGGGCCATAACATTATTGTTTTACCGCAAAGGTTATTTTTTATTCACTTTTGATTCGATAGAAAAAGAGATTAACACAAAAAATGAAAGAAACTTAAACTTGTTTTTCAATTTAAATGCTAGTATCTATACAAATTAAACTAATGCTTATGAAATTAGAGTTACATGATGCAATGATGTGTTCATTTGCAAATATTTACATATTTGATGTTATTATTTACATAGTTACCGGATGATGGCAATAACAAAGCAGAAATTTTGAAATGAGCACAGCACTCTATTAAACTAAACTCTATTGGGCTTTCCTCTTGCAATTATACACTGATCTGCTCTCGTCTTTTCTCTTGCAAATTATTAATTAATCTTAAGATATAATTTGTATAATAATGTTTAATTTTTGTCTTTAAATTATTGGTTTAAATTACTCTTTTGTCTTTAACTTGATGCTTTTAAAACTTGAGAAATATTTAGATATTATATATTAGAAATAAAATATTAATATATTTAAATATATTTTTTAATATTTTATTTTTTAAGCGAATTAACCGCCCAACCTGTCTCGAAACATGATGAGTTGATATTTTCAACTCAGCCCTCTTTTTAGCAGGTTGGAACGAATTTACCAATTTTACTATATCTAAATGTCATCACCACATGGAACTCAGTTGACCTAGGTCAGATGATTGTCTTTAAATATGACACAAGAACAAGAAATATTATAGTAAAATCTGATTTTATCCGAAGATTCGTGGGACTCTAACTTTACCTTTGAAAGATTATTACATTAATTGGATTATTGAATGATACATTTTGACATAAAAGATTGTCCAATTTTTTATATTTATTGGAGTGAAATTAGTATTATGAAATGACCAAAAATATTTATTTGATGGTTAGTTTGATATCACTAATATTATGAAAATTTCATTTAGGATTTAATTTAATTTTTTTTTTGTTTGAACTGACAGCTGTTGCATATAGATTGGCACAAAACAAGCACCATTGTTTTTATTTTAAAAAAGAAAAGGTAACGTCAATGATATAAGTTTAACTCAAATTCATCAACTTAAGCGAGTTATACAAATAGAAATGGTTTTCATGACTAACCTTTTTTTTTTAGTACACTCATGACTCACTTTATACCTACTCTTTTCGACAAAATAGCATTTTCTCCTCTCCTCATGATACCGCATTACATTATACAGCCAATACATTTTCTCTGTAACGAGATTGTAACTGCGAGTTTGATCAATGATTAAGTATCTCGTCCAAAGACAAGTTCAGCACCACATCAAAAAATGCCTTGTTCCTTGCAATCAGTGAATGAGAGCACTAACTTTCAATAATGGGTTAACGACAACATTAAAGATCATCTAAGTTAATTACATTGTCATTATACCAATGAGTCTCAGAAGATTTTCTTCCACAGTTAATCTCAATATCACATGGAGAACTCTCCATAACTCTTTCTAAGGACTCTGCAAGATCCATCTCCCACAAACCTAGCCTACACATTGTCTTGTAGGTCTCATAACAGGTTACCCTCAGGCCTTCTGATACTAACTCCTTTAAGCCTCCGCTAATTTCTTCACTGTTCATTACATCTAGAAAATCTTTTGATAACCCGGGTTGCCAGAAAACAACAATGGCACAACTCTTATCCACCAATTTAACATCAAACTCTCCTGAAAATATGTCATGGGATGCGCGAAGTACGCTCTTCAGCATGCCAGCTGTCATCCCAAGTTTGAATCCCCATAAGAAAACCAAATGTTCACAACTGACTTTTCTTGCATTATTGGTCCACACACTGACATCCCCATTAAATGACTCTTGAATATTAGCCGAGCATGGATGGAATACATTGGTGAAGTATTGAAGCTCAGGGGCCATATGCTTATTGCCAGATTCAGTAACATTCGGGGAAATTTTCAATATAGAGCAGAGCTTCATAAATAAATAGCATAGCCTTAATGCATTAAGTCCATGAATCTTGCCTTCATTTACTGTAGCTGTATGAACCCAAAAATGAAAAGAAAAGACTGAGCTGTCAGTCATGAAATTAAAACTAAAACTAACCTTTTCTATTTTATTTTATTTTTTGTTTAAAGTGATTCTTAAAGGAATAAAACCAAAATTCGGCATGCCTCTACATACTGACAAACTAAGCATGTAAGTTGTAAAGGACTCTCTGATCATGAAACTTTCCACAAATTTAACAAGGTAAAATGCATGAAACATCTAATAAGCATGCTTTTGTATTTTGCATGTGAGACTTAAAGGTTGCGGACATCAAGAAGTGGAGTGACTTACCTCGGTCAGGAATTTCCATGTCAACAGGTGCAAAGAAATGATGATTCAAGTAGGATATAGCACTAGGTAAGTTGGTCACTTTTCTCATGGTTCTAATTTCCTTCATCAAATAATTCACGTCAAGTACCTTGGGAAAAACCATGCACAAGGAGCTCACAAATTCATCTACTTCAGGTGGAAGCGGTCCAATGAATTTTGAATGAATAAATGTACAATCTGCACAAACCGATAAAAGGTTAATAAAAAGAAGAAAGTGGACCAGGTCAGTATACTAGAACTAAGTTGAGAAATATCCATTTAAGAGATACACCATTAAGGTAATTGTGGGAGATAACAGGTTTCTGTGAAGCAGAAATCAAATCGATCACCTCTCGAAATCCACGAATTTTCTTGTTCTCCTCGTCTTCAAAACTTTGAAGCTCTTTCTGCAGTGTAAAACCATAATTATTTCCAAAGAAAAACCTTACGAGGAACAAGCAAAGAGCAGAAGTTTCTCATTACCTCCATCAAATCCTTATCTTCTTTTGAATTTGCCAAAACAATTCGCACAGCCTGAGTGGCCCCACCCTTTGCAGGGATTAGCAAAGGAAGAAGGTCATCCCAGAAGTCTACCAACATCTACATACAGACACACCAAAGTACAAAATAAAAAGGAAAATGATTCATTCAGTTATACCAATAGTGAAGTGATCAAGCTTGTATCATTCAAATTAGAACAATCAAGACTTCATTAGTTCATTATACCTCCAGAATTAGCTGCACTTGATGTTCACTACAAACATCTATAGTCAAACAAGGTCTTGATCTAAACTGTTCACTTCCCAGGACAATATTCCTAAGGGAGTTGATAAGTTCTTCTGCACAAAATGAGAGTTAAAGAACAAAAGACGGACCCAAGAAAAACCTTATTGTACAAAGAATCTGCTAAAGATTTTCTTACCATCTTTGCTAGTGCTTGTGCCAGAGTTTTTACATGTTTTTCTCCAATGTTTAATCCGTGATCTAATCCTCTCAACAAAAACTGTATCAGCAACAGTAGAGGGTGAAGAAGATTTCATCACACGAAGAGAAGGGGAAGCAGTCCCGAGACGAATTTTAGCTACCGACTCTTGTGCTCTGGACAGATATGATATGCCTGTCACACAAATTGAAATGGGCCACAGGTTGTTAGGACTTCGGATATCAAAATAAGTAACAGAACCATAGATCCTAAATTCATATCAAACAGAATAGCATAATTTTTCTATATTTACAAATTCAACAGATTTTGTATACATTCTGGTATGCAGTTGAAGACACTATCTGTTTGGGTGAATTAACAATAACTAAAACCCGGGGAAGAAAGGATAATAAATTAATATAATGTTAACACAATTTTTTTGAATCATTTCAACAGAATTTCCAACTTCCAATTAGTACTCATTCACCTTGCCTTACATATACCTGAAAAGACAGAAGAAAATTCCAATTTATTTTTTACAACTCATATAAGCAACTTAAGAAGCACGGATATTGACATGGTAAAAAATGCAGCACAGACACAGTCCACAAACAAACACAATACCTTTCTCCAAAGTATCCATACTAGACACAAGCAACAAAAGAAAACACATGGACAAAGTTTTTTCTTTTTTCGTTTTTCGGCTTGGTAAATTAAAATGTAAACTTAAACAAATACAAGGATCTAAGAAACAGGAAGAGAATATATGTAGAATTTTCTCAACAATTCAACAGTTCAAGCACGGTGCAAAAGAAAGCATTGCATTTGCAGAAACCAAACTACCCACAAACAACAAAACACAATCTAAACTAAACCTAAAAATGTAAAAAAAAAAAAAAAACCCACCCCATATCCAAATTCCTAGCGATAATTATTTTACACTGCACAAAAAACAAAACCGTTACCAAATCCTAAAACCATTAAAGCTAAATGTCATTAAAATTACCCTCAAATGAGAAAAACATTTTGCAGGCCCATTAAATACCCAAAATAAGAGAACAAAAACATAATGAATTGCAACAAAACCTCACCATCATATATGCAAGAATTGAAATCAAAACCTTGGCGAGCCATGGACGCCAAATACGAAGTCTGGCACGAAAAACTGTAAGAAGGCATCCCCATCTTCAGCTCATCCCTTGGAAACAATAGGAAATTATACCTGCACCGTACCCAAATACTTCATCTTTTTCCCCTTTTCTTCAAAACACACACACACACACTTCATCTTTTGCCCCTTTTCTTCAAAACACACACACACACACACACACACACATCTTTTGCCCCTTTTTCTTCAAAACACACACACACACACATCTTTTGCCCCTTTTCTTCAAAACACACACACACACACACTTTTCTTCAAAAAAAAAAAAAACACACACACACACACTGGTACTATAAAGTACTATAAAGTTCTTGCTATCCGAGGAAGGGTTTTAATTAACCTATTGTATGGGTCTATAGTATCCAATCTTATCTTCCATCTGCAAGAGGCGACAATAATAACCACTCATTTCCTTCTAATAAGAATAGCGACAGGTACTTACGGGTGAGCAACGAGGTTGTTAGAGTCCGTAACGGAAAACGGGCAGACTGCGAACTGGAGGAGCTGGAAGCGTTCGGCGGAGCGCCTGGCCTTGAAGTAAGCGGTTTCCGCCGTGTCGAAGGGAAGGACGCGGTGCCACGACTGCGCGGAGGAAGAGCCTGTCTTCTCCATGGATATGGCGACGAAGTCGGAGGTGGAGATGTGAGTCTTTATGTCGCCCAAGGATTCATGGAAGTTGGAGTTTGTGACCTGCTTCACCCTCCATTTCGAAGAGGACACTTTGGTGCAGAAGGAACGCCTCTGCTTCAGCAAAAGTAACCGAAACAGTGAAGCCATGGCAACGGCGTTTCTGCTTCTGGTTTTCTTCTTTCAAAATCACTGATAAACCTCGAGGACTTGGCGGGTCGGATCTTACCCATGTGACCCTTTTTTTTTTAAATAAATTAATTATAATAAGAAGAATATAAAATATGGAAAAAGTTATGCTTACAAGTTACAACCTATTTTTTGTTTATAATCTTTTTACAACTATATATTAACCGTTGATTTTTTTCAATCAATGATTATTATTTTCACAAATCAAACTCATTAATTAATATTTAATTTGCAATGAATGATAATCGTTGATTGACGAAAATCAACAGTTAAGATATGATTGTAAAATGTTATAAACAAAAATAGGTTGTAAGTATAACTTTCCCCCATAAAATATATACCTAACTAAATTTGTTTACGGGAAAAGTAAGAATAATGTTGCTGAAAAAAATTGAGTCATGTTGACCCTTTGATAACAGTGTAACAATTTTTTTTTTTTTTTTTAATAGACCTACAACTATATGTTTGTGAGAGGACCCTTCTTCCATCATGACAAACAAAAAGCTCTTTGTTTATGAAAAAATATGTGTCATTTTAAATGATATAAAGTTGTGTCATTTTAAGTGAGAGAAAGAGATAAATCATGGAGGATGAGAGTGGACAAAAATAAATAAAAGTGTGAGTCCCACCTCTTTGTGAGAGTAAAATGACACAAGTTGTGTCATTCAAAAAGACAAACACGTCTCCCTTTATTTATATATTATTATCATATAAAATTCTTTTACTATTACTATTGGTAGGGGTATAAATGGGTCAGTCGGCCTAACAGTGGTCATCGACTTGGCCTACATCAGGTCAAACTCAGCCTATTATATATAGTCAAATATAATTGTCTCATGCTTCAAAAAAAGGCTATTTAGAAAACATGTCATAGGCTGTAATACTGGTTCGCGACCGATTAGTTAACATGCATATGATAAAGAAACGCAGCATAAGTAAATGCTTAAGTGGAAGACTTAAACCTATAAAAGTATCATCGTTATCCGCATAACTAAGTAACTTAACTTTTTCTTTTAACTTATCCTTATGTATTGCATCGTATAATTCCTTTTCTAATTATTATGATCTGTACAATCTTATACCTGCGCAGACCTCTTATGTATTCAATTGGTAACTGTATTTAATAGTCAAAATCTATCCAAATAATTTACAAAAAAAAAAAAAAAATCTATCCAAATACAATCACTAGAACCACTTCGAACAGAATCTTATAGACAATATAACGGTTGTAATCTGGGCAATCTGAGGAAATAATCCCATGTCTTTTTAATCTCGGAAATTCAAAAAAGTCAAAACCAACAATATAACTATATTATCAAACTTAAAATTCATCCATGAATTCATACAGAATTTGGCTTAGTGCCAGTTCTCGTTGATGTGCCTCTGGCGAGTGTGATTTTCCAAGCTGGAAATTATAAGAATTGAGTAATAACAGAGCAATTTAAATATATATTTGCTTATTATATTGATTCTTCTATTTTAATGATACTTCTCACCTATTGGTTGTGCTTTTACAGGAAAAAGAAGTGAAAATTATAAAAAGCCTGTTGACGCGACTCCACATGGTGTACCACAGTACAATTTCCAGCAACATGGCACCAACTGGGGCCACTATGATGCCAACCCGCGCCAGTTTCCGGATTTCATAGCGGTACTTTGCAAGTGGCGCTAACTGGCGCCACTATGGCGCCAACCGGCGCCGGATTCTGGAAAAGCAAAAATGTCACAGAACCATGGCGCCTAGTGGCGCCAAATTGGCGCCAAATCCATGGCCAATTCATGGCGCCAACAGGCGCCCAAAGTGAAGAAAATTGTCACGCCAAGTGGCACCCAAAAAGAAGAAAAGTGGCGCCAACTTTGTGAAGAAAATGGCGCCAAGTTACGAGGAAGCTTTACCGGTTTTTATAAATTGGACAGTAGCACCGCACGGGATGACGCCAAACCGGCGCCAACTGGCGCCGGGTTGCGGGAAAATAATAC